CCCGACAGCCAATAGCCGAGCATGGCTCTAGATAGCCTCCAAAGAGGCCTCAAGAAAACTGGCAATCAATTCTGGATGGGCTGGTGGGGATACGTTTTTGGTCGCGGCCGCGAGCGAAGAGCGCAGGCGGCGAACAGGGTGTCCGGGCCGACGGGCAAGCCTAATTAGCTACAGGACGCGCCGCTAGCCGGCCGGCCCACTCACAAAGCAGCCGCGGGGCTGCGCGGGAAGCTGACGGCAGGGGACATACTGGGAAGCTCGGGCACGTGCAGTCTTGACGAAATGTCGAGAAATGCGCTGCATGCCGCGAGGCATAACCCACTCAGCGACATGACGTGCACACGGGCCGACGTGCCCGTCATACTGGGTGGGGGCAGGCGCGAACCCCGATGAGCGAGTCGCCACTGGGGCGCCAGGCCCAAGCCGTCCCAACGACGTGTGCTGGCTGGGGGAGCTGAGCTGCCGAGGAACGTCGCAAACCTGCCAGAATATGGGGATGAGTCCAGGGTGCTGTAGCGGCTGCAGAAGGCTAAACCACTCCGGCGCGGTCACAGTACCCAGAAGTCCATCAGTCAGTGCACGTGGTAGGCTCGGACGACCGCGGGCCGGCCCCGTCAACAACGGCACAGCGCCGGCGCCAGATGGACTAGAGGAGAAAGCCAGGCAGGCGTGGTGAGCATCGCCAGCGAGGCAAGGGGATCCAGGAGGGTGCTGCACAGGGGGCACGGCAGCTGCCGCCTGAAGTACGCGGAAGGCCACCGACGGACGGCTTTATCCTCCAACTACATGAAGCTGGCTGCACCTCCAGGGGCGGTGTGTGGCGTGTCTGGCGGCGCCAGCGGCGCCCGCGGCGCCCGCGGCGCCCGCGGCGCCGGCAGCGCCAGCGGCGCCAGCGGCGCCCGCGGCGCCCGCGGCGGCCACGGCGCCAGCGGCGCCCAAGCGGCGCTGGACGGCCGCGCGCGTCTGCCAGCGCCGCCGCGCCGCCGCGGACACCATCACCCGGGCCCGAGCGCCGACCCTGAGCAGGGGCGGGCTTGAGCCAGGCTTGAGCCAGGCTTGAACCGAGGGCTTGAGCCAGGGGGGCTTGAGCCAAGGCTACGGACGCTGGTGGGGGGATTTTTTTTTAATCTGCGGCCCAAAGGACGGTTCCAGAGGGCGGGTCAATCAGGTCGTCTGGGGCACAGAGCCAGATAATTTGCGAATCCAGCCGTCACTGTCGACAGCCGACCGCACCTGCAAGCATGCTCGCACTTGCACACGCACCGAACAAAATGAACTAAATTCAAGGAGACGCATCTTACCATGCGAAGAACAAAATGAATCTCATTAAGCCGCAAAAGCGGCAACCGACAACGGACAGCAAGGCGTCGCACAGTGGCGCCAGCACCGGCAGACCGGACGGCGAAGAGCAGAGCACAGCGGGCAGCTGCGCCCCAGGCACGCCTGCCTGAGAAAGGGCAGCGCAGGCGAGCAGATAGGGGGTAAGGCCTCACTCACAGAGCACCTCAGGTGCTCGAAGCTGGCATCACCAAGCCAGGTACCAGCGGACTAGACGTGAGGCGAGTAGAGACACCACGGCACGAGGGGGGAACGTCACGCGGTGCAGTACGTTATCACCAACCGTCGGCTGTGTGTTGCCGGTGGGCAACAGACGGAGCGTCAGACCGGTGAGCACGACCCTGCCAGACTGCGCCCCGGTGCAGGAAGCCGGTGTGGGCCGACCTGCCAGAGCCACGATGTGCGCACCCTATTCCGTGATGTCGCAATGGAAAGCGCCTGCCTGGTGGGGGGCTGGTGGGGAGACGCGAAGCGTCAAGAATTTCAACGAGAATCCAGCGGTGGCGACGAGGGCCTCCCAGGAGACACAAACAGGAGACAACGAGGCAAGGGTGGTGGGATAGTGGACTGCAATACTTTTTCCTCATCCGATCGTCGTCGCCAATCTTCGTCGTCGTCGTCGTCGTCGTCGGTCGTCGTCGTCGTCGTCGTCGCCTCACCAGTTCGTCTGGTCGTTCCTCCTCCTCCTCGTCCTCCTCCTCCCTCCTCCACCTCCTCCCTGCTCGTCGTTGTCGTCCTCCTCACAATCAATGTAAAAACCAATCTCACGATCGGTGCCACGATCGCGATCACGATCGATCCCACTTTCGATCAGACAATCCATGTCTCAATCGGTTTCAGTAGCAATTTGAATATCGTTCTGAATGTCCAGCCCACGGGCGATCTCACAATCCATGTGTCGGTTAATCATATATCTCACTATGGATCTCAACATCGGTGCCCCTATCAATATCAATCGATTTCATGATTGATCTCACGATCGCTCTCACTGTCGATCTCCCGATCGACATCACGAGACCGAAATGGGACGACCACGGCGACGGCAGCGACGAGGGGGGCGACGACGAAGGCGGCCCCCCTCCTCGTCGATCGTCGTCGTGTTGGTCTGGGGAAACGGAAAGGTACCGATACCGCTACTCCCTCTTCCCCGAACCACTCCCGGGATGCGTTCCGACCCGAATTTCAACGAGAATCCAGCGGTGGCGACGAGGGCCTCCCAGGAGACACAAAAACGAGACACCGAGGCAAAGAGATGTGGGATAGTGATCTGCGATACTTTTTCCTCCTCGATCGTCGTCGCCGATCTTCGTCGTCGGTCGTCGTCGTCGTCGTCGTCGCCTCACATGATCGTTCGTTCCTCCTCCTCCTCCAATGAACCAATGAACCAGAATCGGAGTCCAAAGCCAGAGGTCCAGAACTACCGAAGGAAAAAAAAACGTAGACCCAGGGTGAGATGCGGAAGGGCAAAAAAGCGAATCGCCTGAAACACCGCCCACACATAATCTTGACGCGAATCCTGCAGGGCCGCGGCCCCTGGCGGATGGATCCCCTCGTGGTGCCCTAATGTCACACTTGGTAACTCGCAATAACCACTTGACCAAAAAAGGCGAAAACAATTTGAACAAGGTAATTGCTTGAAACGCTTGTCGCGCGCACCTATTTGAATTCATCCGGTTTTAATGCGCCCGGTTTAATTTCATCCGGTTTTAATTTGCCCGGTTAAAATTCATCCGGTTTACCTTCGCCCGGTCTAAATTAATCCGGTTGTATTTCGTCCGTTCAGATTCACCCGCTTTTCGTGCGTCCGGATTAAAATCATCCGGTTTTTTTAAATTCGTCCGTTTGAAATCCTCCGGTTTTAATGCGTCTGGTTTAAATTCATCCGGTTTCCATCCCCCCAGCCTCCACACGAATCACGCAAAACAGAGCGGACGAAACAGAAGCGGACGAAATAACAGCGGACGAAACAAAAGTGTGCGAAACAAAAGCGGACGAAACAAAAGCGGACGAACAAAAGAAATATGAAACAACAGACGGACGAAACAAACGCGGATGAAACAAACGCTGATGAAATCAAAGCGGACGAAACAAAAGTAGACAAAATATAAGCGGACGAAACAAAAGCGGATGAAACAAGATTCCATCCACCGCGCCACCCACCACGGCTGACACCTCTACCCTCCTGGACCTTCTTTGTGTGCTGTTTTAGGGACCTCCCACCCTGCGAAAGCACGCGCCAAGAACCCCACCGCGCCACCCACCACGGCTGACACCTCCACCCTCCTGGACCTTCTTCGTGTGCTGTTTTAGGAACCCTCCACAGCTCGAAAACACACGCTGGGACCCCCACCGCGCCACCCACCAAGCCTGACACCTCCACCCTCCTGGGCCTTCTTTGTCTGCTGTTTTAAAGACCCCCCACCCTCGGCAACAGAAGGCGAATCTTAGCAAGGCAACACTTCGCACGTGACCGTCCGACATCGTCCGAAGAGGGTTCCACAAGCCTCCCAAGATCCCCACGCGAGCCCCACGACGACTCCAAAAGCGGATACAACCCTCCAAACTCCTCGGCACCCCGGACTTCTCCCGGGCGCCACCCCGAGCGACTCGGGCGAGCCCCGGCCAGTGATGGCGATAAGCCTCCCGGAGGCCAGACAAAAGTACAGTGGAGGTCACATATATGGATCACCATGAAGGATGCGAGCCCCAAAGGATAGCAATCAGCATCAACATCATCACCGTCACGAGCAGCAAAACAATCATTTTCATCAACATCGTCATCACTGCAATCGTCGACACCATCACAGTGATGATCATCAGGCGAGCGCTCTCTGGCGTGATTTAACCTGCACTGGTGTTGGAGTTCTCTAAAAGTCTTCCTTGGCCATGCGGGCCCTCAGTGCTCTTCGAGGCATCTTCGGACGTCTGGGAAGCAAATGTGGGCCGCGGGGAATCCGCCTGGGGAGTGTTGAGCGCCACTGCTAGCAGTTGGGGGAGTTCTTGGAAACTGTCGGGGGCTCTGTGGGCTATCTTGGTCCGTCTCAGGGCCGTTTCGGGCGCCTCAGGGGCGCTTCGAAGGCCGTCTTCGGGCCACCAGGGGCTCCATTGGCACCCTCTGGGGGACGTCTGAGGCGGTCCTGGGACGACCTTAGGGGCCTCTTGGGCCGTCTGAGAACGTTAAGTGAGCCTGACCGTCAGTGAGTTGGACGACCGAGTTCGGCACAGGGTTTGTCCACAGCCCGAATCATGGAAACGACAGAGAAAACGGTCGGACGACAGCTGGCAACCTCCGAAAACTCTTGGGAAGCCAGCGTTGACCTTTCATGGAGTCTCCCACTGCACCTCCGCCGATTTCCGCCGAGTTTCCACCAGCGGCACTGTCCTCGTTTTACTTGCGATGGCTTTCGCCGAAGGCAAGAGGTTCACCAGTCGAGTCCTCATATTGGACCGATAAACATCTCAATGGCGCACGGCGGATCGGACCAAAACTGAAATCCAAAAGTCAGATCGGCCAGGAATCGAGGCTCCTAAGTTGGCCAGGCCTCTCAGGGGCCAGTGGCGAAAGCCTATGGAAGTCCTGGCCAAGCTTGGTGCTGGCATATCACTGACCATTCCCGCGAACTTGACGCGACGCACCATGACTTCCGAACCCGCCGGCCTTGAAGGCGAAATGATATCATTTTTTGCGCAAAGGCAAGGCGCGGTGCAGCAGCAGTATTCTGGCTGATGGGGCAACGTCGGGCCTCCCCTCCGACGAAGTGCCACACAGCATCTAAGGCAAAGAAAATGCCTCAACCCCTCTGGGTGACTAGCGTGTGAAGTCACGTCCTCCCAAAATGCCATCGGCAGATGACGGGCAACTCGCCTCATGCAATGCCCAGCTAAGTACCCTCGCCCGTTTGACACGTGGCCCCGATTGACATATTTGCCACTGGCAACAAGGAGGGTTCCAGTCTCCCCGAGTCTGGCAGCAAGGAGGGTTCCGGTCTCCCGGAGTCTGGCAACAAGGAGGGTTCCAGTCTCCCCGAGTCTGGCAACAAGGAGGGTTCCAGTCTCCTCGAGTGTTCATCTGACAAGTGACACAAATTGTCGAATGGGTCATCGGCGACAGCATTGACAGGACATCTCTGAACCCAGAAAAGGGAGATCTCGGGCGAAATTGGTTGAATCACCTCAGGTGTGAGCATCCCCGAAAACACAATCCCGACGATGTCCCAGGCGAAAAGGACCGGGACCACGTGAGATGAGGACATAAGTACATAAACCCAGAGTTGCAAAGAGATCTCAAGCGAAACGATCAGTCCACGGCAACTGCAAACCCAGAACAACGAGGAAACGGGATCGGATACCATGAGGCAAGAGCATCAACTAATCCAGAATAACGAGGACGCATCGGGCGAAGATGGCTGGACGACCTCAGGCCAGGTCATATCCGAGCCCAGTTGTGACGGAGTGTGAAGCGAAACTGGCTGGACCAGCACAGGTCAGGGCATCCATGGACCCTGAGTTGCGAGTGTGTGGGGAAGCTGGATGGTACTATCGCATGCATCGAAGCCCACAACTGCGAGGATGTCTCCAGTCAAACGGGCTGGACCGCCTCAGGACAGCGGAAAAGATGTCTAAGCGGAATGGGCCGGACTATCTCTCGCGCGGCATCTCGAAGCCCGCACTGGCAGGGATGTCTCAGGTGAGACCGACCGGACCGCCTCGCAGGCGGCATCTCAAGGCCCGAAATAACGATGATGGCTTCGCCGAAACCGACCTGGACAACTTCTCGCATGGGGTCTCCTAGCTTCCCCCCTTTCCTCCTGGGCAGGAGATGGTCAATCGCGATTCCTTGTCCAACCCCATTTTTCCCCTTCGGGGTTGGGGTCATCGCTGCTCCTGGGTAATATTTGCCACCTCGCCCAATCCACCGACCGCTAATCCGAGTCACTGCCACCCCCCACGATTCCAACCACTAAACAAATTTAAATACCCCCAAACGGCTCCCCTGTTGGAGCTCGGAAATGCGATGCGATCCGTCAGAACCATGATCATCATATTCTCATAGTTATGTAGATCCGCCACCGTGCCTCTGGGCACGGAGTGGGCGTGCCCTCAGGTCCTTGCCATTATCCTCTCAACCTCAGTCCTCATTCCTGAGGAGTCGTTCAGAGACCCAGACCCCACATCGCGAAATCTTCTCCTGGGGCTTCTCGCGGTTTCTCGCGTGACTGTTTCCAATGGGGGCCCCAAAACGGGCCAACAGGGCCCAAAGAGGCCCACGACGGCCCCAGAACGCCCCGAGACGCCCAACAAATGCCCCAAGACGCCCTACATGGCCTCATGATGGTCCAAAAGGCCTCCACGATGCCCCAAGAAGCCTCGAAGATGCCTCACAAGAGGACCCTGAGAGGCAAAAATCATTGACTTGCCTTCGTTGTTTGATAAATGTTGGCGTTCTCGCCTGTTCCCTTTCCGACGCTCCCAGACGGCCCGAGGTCCCCAATACCACCCCAAGAGGCCCCCAAGGGACCCAACAGCAACCCCAAGAGGCTCCGACACTGCCCCGAAGAGGCATCAAAACTGTATCCAAGAGGCCGCAAAACTGCCCCTAAGAGGCATCAAAAAAGGTCCACCACGAGATCCCAACAAACATCCAATAGGCTTCATACCTAAAACCTAGGCATAATGGCGGGAAGGCCATTCGATAGAGAGGAGTCCGAGGTGCGACAGAGAATCATGAGTCCAGGGGGCGAGGCTCAGGCCTGGATGTCTCACCTGAACCCTTCCTGCCGTATTCGGAAAGGCCCCCCGACAACAAACGAATCAAATACACGTCACTCAACTGGAGTCAGCGGCAGAGGCGGCAGCCTTTCGAGCATACAACGAGCCCGCCGCTGGCGCCGATTTTTTCGTTAAACCACTGCGGGTAGGTCGCGGGTGGGTCGCACATGGGTTGCGGGATTGTCCCGGATGGGTCGCGGGGTGGGCCGCGGGCGGGTCGCGAGTGGGTCGCGGGTGGGTCGCGGGTGGGTCGCGGGTGGGACGCTGTTGGGTCGCGGGTGGGTCGCTGGTGGGTCGCGGGGTGGTCGCGGGTGGGTCGCTGTTGGGTCGCGGGTGGGTCGCGGGTGGGTCGCGGGGTGGGTCGCGGGGTGGACCGCGGGCCGGTCGCAAATGGGTCGCGGGTGGGTCGCGGGTGGGTCGCGGATGGGTCGCGGGGTGGGTCGCGGGTGGGTCGCGGTGCGGGTCGCAGGTGGGTCGCGGGGTGGATCGCGGGGTGGGTCGCGGGGTGGGTCGCGGGGGGGTCGCGGGGTGGGTCGGGGGGGGTCACGGGGTGGGTCGCGGGGTGGGTCGCGGGGCGGGTCGCGGGGCGGGTCGCGGGATGGGTCGCGGGTGGGCCGCGGGCGGGACGACAAAAAACAAACAAACGAACGAACGAACAAACAAACAAACCAACACCAGCGCAACAAGCAGAATCCTTACAACGGGTCCCCACTTCAACCACGCGCCCAGGGACAATGGATGACCGTTCGGCCCTCTCACTCTGATTTATGTTAACACAAGAGTTGGGAGCTCGCTGCGCTTCGCCATAAAGTCTCATGCGGCTCATAGGGCTCATGGGTCTCATAGGGTTCATAGGGCTCATAGGGCTCAAGAAGGCTCATATGGCTCATGGAGCCTATAAGGCTCATAAGGCTCACTTCCACCCCGAGCTCCGACGGCTGGACCAAGGGGAACTCATGCCCCGCATCCCTATGCGCGATCTGGTCCATGAGCTGCGCGATGCCGCGCGCGGCCTCCTCTGGGTCCCCCTCCAAGCCGGGGGCGACAAGGAACGCCTGCACATCGGGCCAGGAAAACCACTTCGGGAGAGCCCAGTCCTGATCTTCACTTGCAGCTCGTACCGCTGCCACCGCAGCGCGATTCGCATGCATGTCTGCTCCGACCGCCTCGTTGCGCGCGCCGCCTAACGTCAAGTCGGACGTGTCCCCCTACAGGGGGATTTTCGACGAAAAATAAAACAAATCAAACAAATAATCCGAAGTGGCCAAAAAATAACTCAAAAAACAGTCCCCAGACAATTGTTTTGACTACGTATTTCTAAATCTTCCCCTGTAGAGGGACGGGCCCGACTGAAGCCCAACAGCGCGTGCATCCCTTCCACGCCCGGCGCGTGGAGGACTTCCTCCGACACGCCACCCTGCTCCACGGCGGCGCGCTCTAAGGCAGACGCGACGCCACAGGGTCTCCGAAGGGAGGGGGCCACATGCGAACCCTACCCCTACCCCCCACGATTTCTGAGGGGGAGGGGGGAGGGTGGGGTTCACTTCAGAAATCGTGGGAGGTAGGGGTAGGGTTCGCATGTGCCCCCCTAGGAAAACAGCGTCTCCATCGACTCTGTACAAAGGCTGGGAAGCCGACGCAGAAAAGAACCCGAAAAGAGCAGAGCCCTTTGGGATAGTGCCAACGAGAGAGCGCCTCTCCAACTGCCCCCCGTGCTCACCCGGCCATTCCCGCTCGCATCCTCAAACCCCCTCGCATTGTCTTGCCGTCGCTCGGACGCCCATTTCCCGTGCATTTTTCGGTTTCGCGAGTTTTTTTTTTTTTTTTGTTTGTGTGTGTGTGTGTTTTTTTGTTTTTTGCTCGATGGTCCAGGATTTTCCTCGATGGTTCTCGCCGAGAAAAAATGCACACGTCCGAGCGATGCCACGCCAGCGGAATGTGTCATGCTGGCTTCTGCCTCCGAGGGCCCCCGCCGAGCCCCGGGGCCGTCAAACGAGTTCAGAGAGAAAAGCCAGTCCCGGGGAATGGGTGGAGACCTCTGGGGGTCGACGTCGTGAACAGATCATGACGCCAGAGGTCTGGGTTTAAGTCGGGTCTGTCCCCCTACAGGGGGATTCTCGACGAACAACAAAAAATACCCCCAAAATAGTCCAAAATGTTTTTTTTTAAAGCTCAGATAATAGTCCCCAGACTATTTTTGGACTATTTTTTAAATTATTTTGAAAAGTATTTTGTATTTTTCGTCGAAAATCCCCCTGTAGGGGGACAGGCCCGACTTAAATCTGGGTCTCGAACCTCCTGGTCCCTCGCCGTTCTCGGTCCCCGGCCAGCGCCTGCAAGAAACCCAGACGACGATTCCATGCAGAGGCTCCGGGCGGCGGCCAGGGGGTCTGAGCTGGCTTGTCGGGCCCCTACATCAAGGGGGAGGGAGGGGGGGAGGCGAGGCGAGGCGAGGCCACGCGGACGCAGCACGGGGGCCAGCAGCCTTCGAAAATGCCGTAGCGGCCGCATTCGTCACGTCAGTGGAGGCAGGAGGCGGAGGGGGAGGGGGAAGAGAAGGAGGACGGGGAGGAGGGAGGAATACGGAGGACGGATGATGAAGGCGGAGGAGGAGAAAGAAACTGGGCCCACCAGCAACCCGCGAAGGTGGCGACAGTTTCGCAGATCGCAGCCCCCCAGGGACGGCGAGGTCCCGCTCAGGTCTGCGCGGTGCCTCACCCCGCTGGACCCACCAGCAGCCCTCCAAAGTGGCGACAGCTTCGCAGATCGCAGCCCCCCAAGGACGGGGAGGTCCCGCTCAGGTCTGCGCGGTGCCTCGCTCCGCTGGACCCACCAGCAGCTTCGAAAATGGCGACAGCGTCGCAGATCGCAGCCCCCCAGGGACGGGGAGGTCTCGCTCAGACCCGCGCGGTGCCTCACTCCGCTGGACCCACCAGCAGCCCTCGAAAGAAAGTGGCGACAATTTCGCAGATCGCAGCCACCCAGGGACGGCGAGGCCTTGCCCAAATCCGCGCGGTGCCTCACTCCGCTGGACCCACCGGCAGCCCACGAAAGTGGCGACAGCTTCGCAGATCGCAGCCCCCCAGGGACGGCAGGGTCCTAGACAGGTACCGCAGGCAACGAGAAGGGGAGAGAGAGAGAGAGAGAGAACGAGAGAAAGAGAGCAAGAGAGAAACAGAGAGAGAGAGAGAGATTGGCGGCGAGAGGCAGGAGGCGGGAGGAGGAAAAAAAGACGCGACCGCAGTGCTCCATTCACAACGAATACCCAACCAAGGAGGGTTGGGAACAATGACAATTGGACGGCAGTCCGCCGAGCCAATAACAACTAGAGTGTCCTCTGGCAGACCGGCAACAAAATATTCACCGACCTATGCTTCAAATACTAAGGATCGCGGAACCCGTTACAAAAAACATGAACAATGCACACTGCAAGGTTCCAAGAGCCGCGCGAGCAAACGGACCCTCCCCATCCCTCTCCCGCGCTGGAAAGACCCAGCGCTGCCCACCTCTCCGACCTCGCAACTGTAAGACGTATGCCGTAGCGGCCGCATTCGTCACGTCAGTGGAGACAGGAGGCAGGAGGAGGAGGAGGAGGGGGAAGAGAAGGAGGAAGGGGAGGAGGGAGGAATACGGAGGACGGATGATGAAGGCGGAGGAGGAGAAAGAAACTGAGCCCACCAGCAACCCGCGAAGGTGGCGACAGATTCCCAAATCGCAGCCCCCCAGGGACGGCGAGGTCCCGCTCAGGTCTGCGCGGTGCCTCACTCCGCTGGACCCACCAGCAGCTTCGAAAATGGCGACAGTGTCGCAGATCGCAGCCCCCCAGGGACGGGGAGGTCTCGCTCAGACCCGCGCGGTGCCTCACTCCGCTGGACCAATTTCGCAGATCACGGCCCCCCAGGAATGCCGAGGTCCCGCTCAGGTCTGCGCGGTGCCTCACTCCTGTTCGCAGATCGCAGCCCCCCCGGGGTCGGGGAGGTCTCACTCAGATCTGCAGGGTGCCTCGCTCTGCTGGACCCACCAGCAGCCCTCGAAAGTGGCAACAGCGTCGCAGATCGCACCCTTCCAGGGACGGCGAGGTCTCGCTCAGATCTGCGCGGTGCCTCACGGACCCATCAGCAGCCATCGAAAAAGGCGACAGATTCCCAAATCGTGACCACCCAGGGACGGCGAGGTTTTGCTCAGATCCGCGCGGTGCCTCGCTCCGCTGGACCAACCAGCAGCTTCGAAAGTGGCGACAGCTTCGCAGATCGCAGCCCCCCAGGGTCGGCGAGGTCGGAGACAGGTACCGCAGGCAACATGCACAGACAAGCGGCAATTACGCACACGGCGATCGAAGACAAGAAGGAGGGGAGGCGGGAGGCGGGAGGAGAAGGAGAACTGGAGAACTGGAGAGCGTAGCCAGACACCGGCCCGCCGTCATGATCAAGACTCAGGCTTGTGAAGCGATGCTCTGCCCTTGTCGGACCTGCTGCAGACACTCGCTTCGCCACAGCTGGATCCACCCCGAACCTCTGTTTCTTTCTCTCCTTCTTGCTCATGGGGGGCCAGATCCGAGGGGGCACACTGAACTCGCGACGTGAAAACTAAACAGCGAGACCTCTGGGCTGCCCAGGGGGTTGTTCTCTGAGGAGGCTTACCCTGCAAAGCCGACGTACACTCTGCGAAACGATTCGACCCACACTCGGTCAGTTGCCGCACGGACCCCTGCCAGCGCGTGCCCGATGCACGCAGCACCCCGAAGGCACGGCTGGCCTCGGGTGCGCGGTCGGCCCACCACCACGACCAGAGCGTGGCGCCTTCTCCCCGCTTTTTGCGACTGTGAACCTCCTCCTCTTCCTGCTTCTCGCCCCTGCCCTCCTATGTCATCCTCGCCGCTCTCCATGGGATATCTCCACAGAGCGGCCGCACACCGAAGAGCGGTGCCACTTTGTTCCGAGCGAGTCCAAGGATAATGCTCGGATCGGCGATGCCTGGAGGGCGAACCGGGGGGATTCGTACATCGCGGCGGGGGTTCGTGCATCTGGGGGGGTGTCGTGCATCCCGGGAGGGGTCTGGCCCGCACCGGCGGCAAAAAGCAAATCTGGTGAAAAATACAAATTTTCCGAACAGGATTATGGCGATTTTCGCTCCTTCCGGGCCCTCTTGGGGCGCTCTTGAGGCTCTATTGAAGGGTCTTGGGGATCTTTTGTTTTGCCATGGGCAGGTCATGGCGGGCTCGGGAGCGTCTTGGCTTCGATTCGAGCATGCCAACGGCCATCTTCACCCGCCTCCAGGCTGAAAGGCCCCCTCTGGGCAGCCCCCGCACTGCGGGGGCGAAATTCGATCTCAGGGAAGGTGGGGGAATTTTGCAAAAATGTGCTGCCTCTGGGCACGGGGACCCGGACGCCAGGTATATTATGTGGGGGTCATCATGAGAATCCGTGGGGATCTTTAGGAAAGCGCAGGAATCCCTTGAATTTCTCAAGAATCCCGAGAAATCATCAGGAAGCCTTGGGAACCCTCAAGAATCCGCATTAATTCTCAGGAAACCTACGAGGATCCTCGCGACTCCATGGGACTCTGTAGGAATCCTTAGGAATGTTTTCGAATGCATCAAAATCATAAGGGAATCCCTACGACTCCTTACGAACCCTCAGGAATTCTGAGGAATCCTAACAAATCCCCAGGATCCTTCAGGAATCCGTGAGAAGCCTTTGTGTCTATTGCAGATCACTGGGGACCCTGACGAGTCCTCAGGAATCATTGAGAATCCTCAGGAACCTTCAGGAATCCTCAAGAATGAATCTGCGGGGATCATGACAACTCTTCCAGAGGCCTTAGGAATTTGGAATCCAAGAGAATCCCTTAGGAATGCTTGCGAATCCTGAGGGCTCCTGGGGACTCCTTGCGACTCCTCAGGAATCCTCAGGAAGCCTTGAATCCTCAGGAATCCCTCGAATCCTGAAAATCTAAAAAGGAATCGTTGGGAATCTGTGGGAACCCGTAGGGATCCCCAGGAATCCCCAGGAATCTTTGAGAATTCCCAGGAGTCCGTAGGAATCCTTCGGGGCCCAGGGAATCCGTTGGAATCCTCAGGTCAACCCTGGGTCAGCCCGCGCCGCACGCTCGCGCAGACTGCAACCCGGCCCGGGTTGGCACCCGGGTGGGCCTACGGTTGTGGATGCAATGACGATGGACACTCTAACAATCCGACCATTGGATTAAAGATGTGGTTAACATATGTAAAACATGTTCTAAACATGTGTCAAACATGATTTTGTATAGTTAAGATGTGCTTGAAACATGTTATCGTCATCTGGAAATTATTTGGCCGCATGTTTACTCTCCATGGATCGTCCTCCACACGCAAGCCTACGGCAAGAGCGAGCGTCATGAAAGATGTCGGGGCGGCGCGAGGGAGGGGGGCTGCCCCTGGAGGCCCAGGTTGCTCGTTCCGACGTGAACTCCGATGGAACCCCCGAACCCAGATTTGTTTTTCTGTCCAACCTCATGAAGTTCAGGTGAACAGTGGGGACGGAGGCGACGTCACCACCCCCGAACCCAGATAAACTTGACGAACCCACAGCACACACCCATACCCATAGGGGGGGTCGGAGAGGGCCATGGGTGCGTGTCGTCGGACGGGGGTCCCCGCTCGAATGTGAGCGTTCCCCAGGGTCCGACAACCCGCACCCATACCCATAGCCAGTCCTCCTCCCAACGACCCCCATATGGTAAAGTCGGGCCTGTCCTCCTACAGGCTGTTTTTGCATGCTAGATTAAATTATCCTGGCGAAGGACCCAACCATATGCAGTTGTGAGTATCGCAATTGTGAGTATCTTCTTCGGTGGCGCCCCCTATGGGGCCACGAACCGCATGAGGGGTGTGCCGAAATGTGGCGGGGTGCACATCGCAAAGGAATACAATAGATCTGATTACGAGAGAAAGAACGCGGGTGAGTCAGAGCGCGAGGGAATCTGAGTATGAATGGGTCTGCGCGCGATTGAATATATTTGCATGAATGCGATCATGGAACCGCCTAGTGTAAGTGTCGAGAATGCCTGTCCGAACACACGTGACACTGGGCGTGGCCGTCGCAGGCAGCTTCCGCGGGAACCCCGACGGCAGCGTCCGCACGTCGCGACGCCCATGTCGGCACGCCTCTTGCGAGGATCGCGCCCGCTTTCGGCTCTTCTTTTCCTTCCTCTTTGCCCGCGCACTCCAAAATCCAAGGCTGCGGGCGCAGCGCAGCGCGGAGTCCCCGCGACGCGCGCTGGTCGCCCCGGGCGGGGCCCCAGCGACGCGCGCGGGTCGTCCGCTGCGCGAAGCAGAGAGAGCTGACTAGCTAACTGGCTGGCTGATAGCGGGCAAGTCTCTGACCGCTGGGCAGAGCGACGACGGGCGAACGAGGCGCCGGGCCCCCCGCAGCACGGAGTTCCCGCGACGCGCGCTGGTCGCCCCGAGAGGGCCCCAGCGACGCGCGCGGGTCGTCCGCGGCGCGAGGCCAAACAATTAGTCGGGCAGTCGAGAGAAGGCGCGGCTCGGGGGAGACGCTCCTCAGGTCAGGCCTCGCGGATGAACTCGGTGAAGCCGAGCTCCCTGGCGAGGGCCGTCGCTTCCCTCCTGCACCGCTTCGTGCGCGCCGCAAACTGCTCCAGCTGCTTCCGCAAGCCCTGCGGCGGCCCTGCCAGGAAGAACTCGATGCGCGGCGCCCGCATGAGCAGGAGGTCCTCGTGGCGCGTGGCGCGCGAGAGCAGCACGTAGAGCTCCAGCCACCAGTCGTCGTCCTCCTTCTTGCCGTTCCCTACCTCGTGGCGGCCGCAATCCAGGATCACGCCTGGGCGACGTCGACCGAGGGAGCAGCGCGCCGGGCAGCCGACGGCCCAGGGCGAGAGTCCACAGGACCGAGAGATGGTCTGGCCGCGGACTGCTCGCGCCCCGGAGGTCTGGCCGCCCCCGGAGCGCCGTTCCCCCGCCCCGTCGCCTTCGCGCATGGTGCGCCCCTGGCACGCCACCGTGGTGATGACCCTGCCGTGCGAGAAATGCGGGGGGTGTGCCGAAATGGGTGGGGGTGACGCATGCGGGCGGCGGCACTGAGGCCTTCGGTGGAGCTCCCTATGGAGCCACGAAACGTGTGAGGGGTGTGCCGAAATGGGTGTGGGTGACGCATGCGGCCGCGGGCACTGGGGCCTTCGGTGGAGCTCCCTATGGAGCCACGAAACGTGTGAGGGGTGTGCCGAAATGGGTGTGGGGACGCATGCGGCCGCGGGCACTGGGGCCTTCGGTGGAGCTCCCTATGGAGCCACGAAACGTGTGAGGGGTGTGCCGAAATGGGTGTGGGGGACGCATGCGGCCGCGGGCACTGGGGCCTTCGGTGGAGCTCCCTATGGAGCCACGAAACGTGTGAGGGGTGTGCCGAAATGGGTGTGGGGGACGCATGCGGCCGCGGGCACTGGGGCCTTCGGTGGAGCTCCCTATGGAGCCACGAAACGTGTGAGGGGTGTGCCGAAATGGGTGTGGGGGACGCATGCGGCCGCGGGCACTGGGGCCTTCGGTGGAGCTCCCTATGGAGCCACGAAACGTGTGAGGGGTGTGCCGAAATGGGTGTGGGGGACGCATGCGGCCGCGGGCACTGGGGCCTTCGGTGGAGCTCCCTATGGAGCCACGAAACGTGTGAGGGGTGTGCCGAAATGGGTGTGGGGGACGCATGCGGCCGCGGGCACTGGGGCCTTCGGTGGAGCTCCCTATGGAGCCACGAAGCGTGTGAGGGGTGTGCCGAAATGGGTGTTGATGATGATGATGATGGGAGGGGGGAGGAGACAGCGGGAGGAAGGAAGGAGAACGCGGGGCACCGTCTCTTCAAAACGAGGACCCAACACCACAGGATGGTTGGGAAAAAAATACTCCAACCATGCTCAGAGAAGCTCAAGCATGGTCAAACACTCGTCCCCAGGCTACCTTCTTGACTTGGTTAAACATCCTCTTCCTGTAGAGGGACAGGCCCGACTTGATCTTATGGGTATGGGAGTGTGCTGTTCGCTTGTCAGGGCTGGCAAACAACCAAACCAGCGCAACGTCGGGGCCGAGCCGCCCCGCCGCGCTCCCCACCGCATGCTCTCCGAGGCCGACCTCGAAGAGCGGCGGGGGGCATTCGCTGGGCGCTCGTGAGCCGCTCGTGGGGCGGTCGTGGAGCACGAGGTAATTCGCGGGGCAATCGCAAGGAACTCGTTGGAGCTTCGCTGGCGCAACGCGTTTGCGCAGCATTCGTGGGCCCCTCAGCGTTCGTGGGGCATCGGTGCAGGAACCGTGGGACATCCGTGTGCGCCGAGCATGCGTGGTGCATCCGGGGAGTACTCGCGCAACATTCGTACGATGGGATGCAGAGAGCAATCGTGGAGCATCCGTGGGAAATTCGTTGGGCATTTTTGGGCC